CAGGAGCCCCTAGTAGCGTCCTTGCTTCTAGTAGTAAGGCCAGGAGCTCCTAATAGCGTCCTTGCTTCTAGTAGTAAGGCCAGGAGCTCCTAATAGCGTCCTTGCTCCTAGTAGTAAGGAGCCCCTAGTAGCGTCCTTGCTCCTAGTAGTAAGGCCAGGAGCCCCTAGTAGCGTAGTAGTAAGGCCAGGAGCCCCTAGTGGCTGAAAAACTACACCATGGGATTGCGCTGTACATATGAAGATCCCTGCGAGCGAATGTTTCTATACATAATATATACACGACCTGGGTGTGTGTCCCAAAGACTCCTGGGACTGCAGAGATTTCTATGAACCCACTGGGAGGTTCTCCCTATTCCAAACTGCTCTTCACGTGGTTTCAGGATGCAAGGGCACCCTTGCCCTTTTGGGCGGTAATACTCGTTACCATCGTCGTTATCATACGTTTATATCATAACTACTGTCTGAACTTTCATGTTTCATCGGATAAAATCAAACAGCTTGCCATTAAACAAAGACAACAAGTTTATTGTACCAGAGGGCACGCAGGGTGGTTTCACTGGCAGGCATGAGGAGATTCTCTGCCATGAAATGCTGCCTGCAGACCTAGAAACTGCGTCAATCCGCAGAAAGATCTGCTGATTAATCCCACAATTCCCGGCAACCCACTAGACCCAGCTAAAACCACACTAAGAACTTCCCTTTGAGTATTGAGGCTTCACAAAATAGAACCCTTGCATGCATTGACATGGCATTCATCCATTGGCACACTTGTACCTACCATGACACGGAACACATGAGATTATGAGATGTTGTACAACGACTTGGAATTCCCTACCCCACAGATGAAACACCGGAGATTCTTGAAAACATGGTGGAGACCCCATAGATGAAAATATATAGATGAACCACCAACAATCCTTGCGGCCTTCGGTTGGACACACTGAGGTTTGGTTGTCCTCACACTAGCAACTTACCAAGAGCAGGTTTAATTGAATAACTGATGAGGGCTTCCTCTACCATGGTGGGCACGTTTCTTTGCCAGTACCACCAACAGTGGCCACTGGACTGAAGAGTGACCGCTCAAAACATGTTGGCTGTATTGGCTGTATCGGCTGCATTGGGGCGATCGATATAGTTCTCCATTCTGTTTGGCTGTATTGGCTGCAGTGAAAGCCTAAGCTTTGTCCGTTTATCCAAGAGAACTTGTCCACCTAAGGAACCCAAAGAGCGACAGGGCTGTTGCTGGAAGTGCGTGACTCTCGGCCACATACGGTGATGTCGGGCATTCTGTTTCAGATGACGACTGACGCAGCCTCGGGTTGATATTTTTTCTCCGTGGACCATGGGATTCCAGGTATAATGTATAATATGTTGATATTTTTTTTCCCGTGGACCAAGGTCTTGATACAGAAATATAATGTCTTTGTAGTCTTGAGTGCCTCACCTGTCGCTGAAGGAACGGAGGGCTGGGCTGTCAGCAAGAGTGGATAGGATCATAGGATCATCCAAGCCGCAGCTGTTCAGCTGTTCAGCAAGGATGGCTTGGGGACCATACAATTGCAAGATGGGGCAAAAATCACTTGTTGTCCTGGCTTTAGGCCCAAAGGCTGGAGACTTTGGAAGGAATCTTCCAGGAAAGGGCATAGTGTGACAGTCTTACACCGCGAGGCATGCCAGCATCAGTCTTGAGTGAAGATAGGGAACAGCCTCCAAGCAGGGTGGTGACTTAAAACGAGCCGTGCGGTCGCAGGATTTTCTTTTTCTTCTGGGTATGTCTGGGCATAGGCATCAGTGAGATGAGAATTTCAAGTGATCCCAGTTCAGGGAACGCGAGGGGCTTTCTACCACCTTCTACCACCGTCTACCTTGATTGATTCAGCTTGGAACACCTGCGTGTTCCATCCGCTTCTTCACCTGGCGGTGGAACACCGTCGCCCTCGCTGTCTTCGCTCAGGACGTGCATCGGCTCCGCCTTCCGCCTCACAGGAGCGGTGAACGGTTCGGGAGCACCGCACGCACCGGGGGGCCCGGTGAGTCTCCGGTACAGACCCGTGCGTTTTCCGCAGTGGATCAGGGGAAGGTCGCCCTGTTTTGAGGGAAGTCCTTCCACACCTTCCAAGTTCTGTTGGACATGGTGGTTTTCGTTCGATGAAGCAATTCCCTTCATGGTAGTTTTTAAGCTTTGATCAATGGGAACCTAGGTCACCATGCAAAGCAAGGGGATGAAAGCCAAGAGCGCCTGCAGAACCCCAGACCCCCTTGATGGACAGCTGGGGCAATTGCTTCCCAAGTGTCACATGAACATGCGGGCTGTTAGAGGCTCCTAGGAAAAAGGCTCCCAGTCTTCCAACTTTGGTCGAAAAAGGCTCCCAGCGGTCTAAATGAGCAAAACCGCGTCAGTTTGGCCCAAACCGGGGTCCTTCCTGAGTTGTGCGTGTGTGTCAAACCTTTTCGTTTGGTCGTTTTGTCCACACGCTCAAGATATTGCGTACTGACTAGATTGCGGTTTGCCACTCGCCAACCTAGGTACCCATGTTCCTGAGAAAGTTATGAAAGGGGCCTGAGCATATTGTATACAGGTCCCACAAAGAAGGAAGAGGCCCAATTTCAAAGTTCCAGGTCCACGAGCATGAAACGACTGGCTGACGACGTTCGCTCACAACTGCGGAGTGCATTAGCTCTTTACTGAACACAGCTTGAGCAACAGTTCAAAAGGAGCAGGTACGTCTGGAAAGCGTCCTTTCCAGATATCAGCCACAATTGCAGCCCTCTTCGTTAACCAATCAACTGCAATGTGGGATTGCCCCCCCTGCTCTAAGGTACACCGTGTCTCACAAGAATACAAATTCGAAGGAATCCCTGTGACTCCAAGGGTTTCACACACACACACACACAGACCCTCGCTTGAAAATTGGAACACTTGTTTCACCATCAACTCTTAATTCTATAAGAAGCAGGGGGGCCAGCGAATGACATGAAGCTAGTGGTGCCAGGGAAAGCGGTCAGAGACGTCTGACTGTGTACCTGCCGCATTCTTGTGATTTACAATACCGTTCTCTTACCTTTTCGCCTTTAGGGCCGTTTTTGACAGGTGAGTTTGCCTAATGCAGCAATGTAAAGGGCTAATACACTCCAGATTGGCACTGAATGTCGCTCTTACGAGCTTTCTTCTGTGTGTTTGTGTTTTTTAACGCTTCATGAACAGCGACGTTTTTCCATGGCCTTCCCTTCTGGGGTGCATGAATGGAAGCGACCAGCTCTTCGCAGCCGGCGCATGGAAACGCTCCCGCGAGTGAAGATGCGTGATGCCAGTTGTCAGGATTCTACGCGCTGATGCTGCTGCAGGATGCCGCTTCTTGTTAGCAGACTAAGGGTAGTTCTTTACCACTCGGACCCAATCGGTTTTACTTTGCCGTCGACTGGGAGGGTGAACGGAGCTCAGGGTAGAAATAGAGTCTACATGCCAAAGACGAGAAGAGACTTGGTCCTCCTATATTTTTGCAGCTAGTCTGCAACGGTGGGTAGATGGTCTCAGCTGGCTTGTTACTCAGAACCATTGGGTGCTCCTGTAACTTCAGCAAACATGATCCCAATCTTGTGGGTTCCCCTGGTGGGGGCTTCAAGTTTTATGCCTGATAGGATAGAAATGGTTAATCCTGCCATCCAGGATAGCGGATAGCCTGTAGGTCACAGTTGTGGCTTCATCATTCTGTGAGTCCAGGGTTATTCACAGACCAAAGCCCTTGTGATGTTCACTTGTCCAGTTCCAAGGCATTGGAAGCTTGAATCTTGATCAGTACACTCCCGAAAAATAACCTGAATCGTGAGAATGGCACCCTCAAAGACTGTTTTCCTCTATAGCTGCACCAGTGGTTTTCAGGGTTTGTGTTAGTTTTCGGTGGGGTATCCCATCAGTCTCTTCAGGGGTCTGATTTTGGAGCTCCAGGTCTCCTTGATCTTGGTCTTCCTGACTCTGATGATGGGCACCATCAGCTTAGCGCAAATAGGCCCGACGGGCGTTTGTGAAGTCATTTGATCTGTATTGACGCAGCTACTGGTAGGGACAGGCAGGCACTGACGAAGAAAAAGATCGTAATTGGTCATGGGATCCAAACAAGCAGCATTTTTTGGCTTTTTTTGGTTCGAGGTCGGACCGGGTCCCCGTGAGGTTGTGAAATTGCCACTGTGCAAGGCGTGGTCAGGCACAGATTGATTGCAGGTATATACTATACGCATCTATACGCTTCCCGAAGCTTTCTTTTCCATGTTATTTTGAATATCTTGGGGCTCTACCTTTGGATCCTGTCCTCTGATGGTCAAAGCGACAGGCTCTAGTTTTGTCACAGGTCCTCATCGCAAGCACAATGTCCCTGCATTGTCTGCACCTCCTTGAATGCTACTTGCAAAGAAACGAGCCACGACAAGTTGGCTCCGCAACCAGTTGATATGTTCATCCAATTGAACTTTGATATGCACACACAAAAGACCAATCTAGACTCCGCGTTCATCATCAGTTCGTGCAGGAGTTTTCCTTTGCAGCACAAACACCGTTTTCCAGGTTCTGAGTGTTGATGAAACAGTTCCTCATCGCCAAGCCTTGGAGTGAAAGGATGACACGAACTCCGTGCTTCTATCGGAAGGATATTGTCATGGTCCACCGCAGTGCTGAATATGAATCTTGCTTTACTGTAGTCGGTAGGGACTATCAATCCCAAGTATTTAGCCAACCGAGTCAACCAAGACCCTCATTTATATGTTTAGTGTGTGTGTATGTATGTAAGTCCTACCCCCCTCTCCCGCGTAGATACGTATGATACAACTGGGTAGCATTCGGTAGATCTGCTTTGTTGCTTCCACCGATGATTGCTTTGCTCCGACGGGAGGCGTCGCCAGCGGATGTCAGAGCGCGGAGATCTTGTCGGACGACGCGGCCTGTGTGAAGGAGCTGGGGGAACTGGGGAACTTTGCCTCTCGGCGAGGGAGGAACCTGCAATTTGAAGGAAGGAAGAGTCACACTTAATTACTGACCCGGATTGTATGGGTGAAAAGAATCTGCACAACTGAACGTCAACTTGTTTCTTTTTTTCCTATTCTAAGATGTCCGCTTGACCTGTTCGTTGCTTTGCGGATTGGGAGAGTTCTGGGAGAGTGGTGGAGCCCGTTCTGGCATTGGAGATGAACATCCTTTCCAAAGCAACAACACTATTTGGTTCTCAGGTTTTGTTGGGAGACTGGTAGCAGTAACTCTATCAGAGAGTGTTGCGAAAACCATCACTTTGAGCCACTAGGTTGATCAGACATCATAATCAGCATCTTCAGCTCCTTTAAGTAGCCTACCAGCATTTCTTGCCTCGTATCTCTGCGATGGAACCCTAGTGCATCTGCTGGTTTCCATGGTGCTGCAATTCTTCCGAATTTCCTCAGGTGGACGCAGACCTCTTGCAGCAGCGCAGTTGCCACGATGCGGGGCTGCTGATCTGTGAGTCGATGATGGCAAACGTGGCGATGCTCGGAGCGTTGCGCCGGAGGAACCGCAGGGGGGCCGCACGGTGAGACGCGCCGACGGCCGCGGGGGTCGGTTCTTTGGAAGAGGAGCGAAGGAAGGCGGGGGTGGTACTGGGCGTGTACCTCGTGCAGGCGTCGCTCCCCAAAAAACATGTCAAACACGAACAAGGAAACGCATGAACTGCCCCGCCAAGGATGGTCTCCCATACATTGCTGTTGGCTGTGCTGGGCACAATCTTGCCTTTTGGCAGCACTCTTTTTCTATTTGATGTTCTTTTTTTTGTGTATTCCTAGTCTAAATGGTCTTCGAGACCACTTGAACTGAGGAGCTGGAACTCGACTCTGTGACTTCCAATTGGTCTTGGGAAGATCTTGGAAGTGGAGAGATTCAGATCTTCCATGATCTTCCCAAGACGGCCAAGAGATGGTCAGACCTCCTTTGTTGCAGAAAACGGGGCCGCCCCCGGTCCACTCCAACGACTGCGAACGACGGCGTCCAACGACGACGGCGTCCAACGACGGTTTCACGGGACTGACAGACAAACACTCCTGACTGACTGGAGTAGGTCTCCATCATCCTCGGGACATGTTTTTTTGCGGATCAGGTGATCTATTTAGACTCTATGGTTAAATCCCCTTCCTTAAGCAAATCGAAGCAGTTTCCAGCTGTCAAAATCTGGATGGCCGCCCATCGACAACAGTTTCCTCATCATTATGTAGTTGTGGAGCATCAAGTGCATCAAGCACTTCCATCATCAGCCAACCCAGATACCTTTAGACTTTGACCGATAGAAGAACATGGGTCTGAGGATGTCCGAGGGAACTCTTCACTTCAACGAAGTCTTCTCCAACCCCGGACACTGCCGCACTACACGCCGCACGGACCGGGACCGACCGACCATTCAATCCTCTTCCAAGCAGCGAACGCAAAAAATCACCGACTGGGACGGTTCCCCCAAACCCCCAAAAACGCCCATAGCGTTGGTCCGTTCGTCTTATCCTGGCCAAACGCTATTTCTCCAGGAGAGGTTAAGGACCGAAAAAGATGGTTTTGTATGCTTATGGATTCTTGGTGAATGAGAGATATTTTTCTCCCTGCTGATGGAACCCTCAAAACTCTGCAAATTGCAGTACATAATTTACTGTCAGGTGGTAGAGGATGTTCTACGTTCTGTTTAAGCAGTCAAGAATAGGGCCTGGCCAACCAATCCATCAGCTCAGTCAACGAGTCCAGCTTGATCAATCAGGTCCTGTTGCATTCCTCGGCGTTTGCTGGTGGTATGGATGTCTACGCAGCACAACGTCGCCATGGCAGAGGCAGGTGTTCTCGCCTCCGCTACAAAAGAGTGTTTGGAGGTGAAATACGGCCCCCCCATGAAAAGTCGTTATTGAATCAGGCGAATCCACAATGGAAGTTGTTGAATCCCAGAAACAGAGAGCTTTTGGAGGAATCAGCTGCACAAACATCCAACGAAGGGAGAATCGCCAACGACTTGGAGCTTATGGAGTCGATCAGCTGTCATTGAAGGAAATCGTCCTGAAGCTCACGTAAGTGATGACAGTCAATATCGCCAGCTTTCGCATGGCTGGAAGAGGACATATAGATGGAATATGCAGACAGAAACCATCCTCCATCGTGGCATGCAGAGGAGAGTTCTCTTGAGAGGCTTCTTAAAGTTCGTGTTTGCTTGCCAATGTGTCTTTTGATCAGGGTCAGGGGGTCAGGAAGCCACTCACCAAAACGAAAGGATGGTGCTCCGTGACAATCGACAGGTGTTGGCCGACTCTGACCGCGGAGGGAAGCCAATGGTGCTTTGGACGCGACAAGAGATCATGGGAACTGGGCCACCGGAACTGGCACTGGAAGAAATCGATTTCCTGTAGCAGCATGAACCTTTTGAATTGGGGACATATCAAACAAAGCTCAAGGGGTGCTCTCCCTCGAGAAGAAGCCCTTGTCACCCCGAACCAGTGCCTCGGTTCTTTCTGGTGGATAGTCTATTGAGCTTGGGCTTCCCACACCCACAGAGCCCAGGGCGCACGCGACTCATTTAGGTGCTGAGAGAGCGGGGAAGGAGCGTCATGTTGCAGTAACGCTCTACATTCTGGTGATCAATTGCAGGAGCCCACTAGGTGACCTTGAATCATGCCAAAGATGGACGTGAAGCGGACGCTTCATCTCTTCAACAGAGGGTAGATGTTCCGGTACTCGTGGTATGGCCTTTTAGCATCTTTTAGCTCTGTCTCAGCCTGTGGCTAGCAAAGGTTCCCCAAACTAAACCCTCGGCCTTTGAGATTCTTCGGCGGTATCTCAAAAGTGCTAGACACTCCAAGGTGGCAACCAAAAACACCTTCATCCAAACAACGGAGTTGTGTAGACGCCCCTAAGGCCCCTAGCATATAGGATTATAGGGCAGTTAGAAGTAACAGAAGAGACTTGGACCAGCACTCACTTGCAGGGATGCAGATAGCTGCCGGATGAAGAGTGGCCAGCCCGAATTGCGCACAAGAGATTCTAGGGGCACAATGACACGCACATGAACAATCATGAACATACCCCAGAATTGATACCATAAACATGGTTCTGATCTCCCTCTCTCTCTCTCTATATCCTTTAGATGGGGGTCCATCTAAACCACCTCTTGCTGTGCCATCTACTCTCAATCCACTATATATATATACATATGCAGCTGGTTCGCTTGGAACCAAGAAGCTAACACAAGAGTTCACGCGTTCGGCCGCCAGGGATGTTTCTGTGAGGTGATGGTTGTTTGAATTTCCGGACCGGCCATGGCTGAGGACTATTCGGCGTACTCAGTGCCTTAGAGTGTGCAGAGGAAAAAGGTGCCAGGAGTTCCTTTGAGGATCAGGAGTTTCTTTGGGCAGTCCAAGTTTGATGCATTTGGCAAAATCAAACAGGCCGCAAATCAGAACTTGGCAATACTCTACGTATTCCCTCTTTCCTGTTCTGCGTTTGGTGGCATTTGCACAGCCGTCCGATAGTTGAAGTTCCATTTGGTACACCTGTTGACCCAGCTTGAGGAGTGCCTTTTCCCCATCCGTCCAAACAACCCACTTTGGCAATGAATGATGCCCTTTTTTCGGATTGACCGTGAATAGGTAGGTGCAGGTGCAGCAGAACCCCCAACGATCCAAGCCCCCAACTGCTTCACTTCTTTTCATCGAAGCCTTTCTTGAGCACTATTGTACACTGCTGTCCATCTCTGAATGCCGAGTGGCTGCCCATCTTTGATCTTTTGCATGCCTGCAAAACTTCCTTGGGTGAAACGATCAAGAACCGCTCAAAGTGGATCAGCATTGCAACAAAATATGAACCGTCAAACCAGAGTTGTGGCCTGAAAACTGGAGAACGACTGTATGTATATATATATATATATGGAAGCTATGGCAGGTCCAACCTTCTTTGCCATCCAAAGCAGATAGGCTAAAGCATCCATTGCGCATCATGTTTAGACATCCGCTATGGCCCCATTTCTGCTGGCTAAAATCTGTGCCCTACTCTACTAAGCCAACTTCTTTGGGGAGTTATGACAGATTAAGCGCTTTGTAACTATACGATGGCTTAGAACCCTTAGCCACAGAAAAAGACCTTCTTTGTTGCGGGACACAGGACGTTTTTGGTTGCATACACTCTCGAAGGTAGCAGCATTGCATTCACAGAACAGAGGACTGTTATCCTCCAACCCGCTCCTCTATGGCTTGCCATGGTTGAACAATCGAAGCAACATCGATAGATCAGTCTTCTGAGATGAAGAGAACGGCGTCTCCCTATCTCCACCCCTTCGGAGAGTCGTGCACGTTCACGCGTCGTGCTGCTCTTGTTCACCGTCCCGACCGCGCCCATCGCCCGTTCCACGCGACGCACGCCACCGCGACGAGAAGGCGTGGGATGCGACGGGGTCCTTGGAGATCAACGGCCTAGAGGCCTTGCTACCCACACTGAAGGCAGGACCAGTTGAATGGACTGGCGTCTGTTCTTTTGGGTGTGAAACAAGGGGGAAGTGGTTCGAACGGAACCATCTTTGCAGACCAAAAGCGAGTAATTACTTAGCGTTTGTATGCATTTGTGGTGGATTTTGAGAGGTTTCAGGTGATGTTTTTTGGTTCGAATTGTGGATGTTTTCCCGGGAGATCCCCCAAATGTCGACAAAGTACACTTACAGAGCTACCAAGGAGGTACGGCATAAGTGATATATGTAATATAATATATAACTGATTGTCATCCAAAGTCTCTGGGGAGCTTGATTGGCCTGTCTTCCAACTGGTTGCCCACTTGGCTTCGCTTTCCAGATGATAGGTACCCTCTGTGGTTCGGATGCAGAAGATGAAGAGTGAACCTCAAAGGGAACTCATGAGCTATACAGTATCTTCCGTGTCAACTAGAACTGTAGCAGAGCAGGAAGAAAACGAAGCCATAGACCGTACTTCTGACTCAGAAAGCTCTCAGCAGCACGTGCAGGCGACCCTTCCTTTCGCTGTGCTCCGAATAAGTCGTCGTCTCCCGACCTCTCCCGACCTCTCCCGACCCCATCGGCCAGCCGCCGATCCGAGGTGCCCCTGCTCGACGACGCGGAGCGAGAAGTCCAGGTGGAGGTGCTCAAGCAGGTGAGGCCCGCGCGGACGCGGACAGGCGATGTGTAGATGCGAACGTGCGCGTGCGCCAGTGCGTGTGGCGATTTGGGTGGGGGAGACTGAGTCTGGGCGATAGAGTCTGGGCAAAACATCTGGGGCTCCTGTGATTTTGGGATCATTCTCCCCGACGTCGCCCCGTTCTGGTTAGGTGATGGGGAGAATGCTCAGCCTGAATGGTGAGGGCGCCTTTCGGATTGGTTGCAAAACCCAACAGGTGATGATTCTTCCAGGCGAAGTGGCGAAGCAGCCTTTAGCAGCTTTTTGAAGAGGAAGATGGAGGTGAAAGGAACACCTTGAACGAACATCCTTCACGACATCATACGTACCGTAGTTGTAAAATGCTAATGATTGTAAACTGTAAACTCTTGATTATCAACTTCCGGGGTGTTATGAGTCCATGTGTTCGAATACCAGATCTCGGCCTCACAAAGCCCGTTTTCCTCCTCTCCTCAAAACCAAGGCGCAAACAGGTGGTGGACAGGATCTTTGTTAGGGTACATGCGTTAAATCACATTTTTTGCTCTAAAGAAGGCTTACCTGCTGCCGACGTACCAAATGCATCCTCCGCGACATGGCCTGATAAAGTAGATGAACTGGAAGGAGAATGAGGTTGACGAAATTGATTCAGCAACGACGCCAGTTTCTGAGGTGATTCATTTCGGGAATCATGTAGGACCTAGGACCACCCACAAGGTTGGATGCTGGTTGGAGCATTTTGGGCCTACAGGACAGGTTGTGATACAACCCTATTGGTCCACCTAGGACCACCTGGGATGCACAGGACAACGTAGCATGGCCAGGCAGAAGTGCTTCACATTCCTGCGGGAGGAGTGCGGACGGGCTTTCACAACATCCGACTGTGTTGTAACTGGATCACAATGAAAACCAAACGATTTCCACTTTGATATCTGGGAATTTTCTTTGGAAAAGCTGGGAATCATTTGTTGCGAGTGTTGCCCTGATCACAACTTGCTTTTTGGGTTCACGCGACTGGAACGAAGATAACGAAGCGCCGTCGCATCGTTCGACCTCCACGCGACGAAAAGGGCAGCCCCAATGGCAACGGGTCACCAGATCGACCAGATCGGAATCCGTCTTGAGCCTTTTTCCGATCGCGACTGTTTCGCGCGTAAAAGCAGACCGGTGAGGAAACGCATCCATTCGGATCGACTGGGAAAGGCGTGTTTTCCTGAGAGCTGATATAGGGGTCTTACTGCTCGAGTGGGTGGCTATCTGGGGTCTATGTTGAGAAAACCAGCAACAGTTCTGCTGCACAAAATGAGAGGGTGATGGTGCTCGCATGTGCTCGCCCGCTTTCCAGCCGGTCTCTAGGACATGTGGCTGAGATCGAAGGAGTCTTTGAGCTTAGAAGCCGGAAGACATGGGGTTGAAGGAAGAGTTTCGTGGACTGGAAGCCTTAAGCATGCAAATGTCGAAACACAAAAGCACACTTGTGTGTTTTGGGCCGCTTTGTGAACATGTGGGTTGGAATGTGTGTGCAAAACCTATTTGTCTGTCTGGTTGGCTGGCTGCCTGCCTGGCTGGCTGGTCTGTCTCTTTGTCTCTTTGTCTCTCTCTGTCCGTCTGTCCTTGGCACACCCTGGACCACTTGGTGCAGACTCCCCTTGTTCAGCAGCAGCGGCTAACCCGCGGCGTTGATCGGCGTAGTTCAACCCACCGTACGCAGCGAAGCCGGCTACGACAAGGGAAGGGTGGGCTGATCATCCATCTGGACCATTCTGGACCTGCCGTTCATGTTCAGTGTCTTCTGATCTCGTGCAGATCGAACAAGCTCTGTTGTTGGTGCGTGTCCGGGCGATAGCAAGCGCTTTCCTTTTTTGTTGTGGATTTTTTTTCTGTGACGAACTGCGTCGTGCGGGAGCAGGAGCTTCAGGAAGTTTGGCAATGAAGGAAGGAACCCAACTCGTGGTGAGATTGGCTTTTGGGTTGATTCAAATGCCAAGGATTGTGGCGCGTTGTACATTGTCCTGAAGGCCAGCGGCCGGATGGATCACTGGTGGTTTCAACGGTGTGTGCTGTATACAAAAGCAGTTGGCCCATTGGCATCGGGTTAACAACCACTTTTAATTAGAAGGTTTGTTACAAAGGGGGGGCATCAGAAGGTTGTGTTCTTTGAAACATGGGGGTCAGTGATTCCTTATTGCAATTTTTGCAACGCCTTTTGAATCTTGAGCCCCCCGAAAACTAGTTAGAACATGTTGTTTTTTTGTTGTTGGTGAAAATGCCTGGATCCAAGAGCTCTGATGTCACCGAATCTTACTTCTCGATAATGTACTCGGGAAAGTTGATATTGACACCTTCTCTGGAAGTATGAAGTAGGATTGCACAGACTTTTCTAGCGAACTTTACTTCAGGACCCTGCGCATGTTAAAATTTCCCGGAAGTATGAAGGAAGAGATGCTTGCAGATGCTTGCAGAGTGGGAACATGCGCTGATTTCGATCTACTTCTTTTGTGGAACCAAGGACCAAGATTGCTGGACAGAATTAGACATGCTTGCAACATGCAAGGATGGTAGATCTTTGGCGGGGGCAGAATAGCATATGCTTCTATGTACACACACAATATATATATATATATATAATATATTGCAGTGCCACTGGTTTGTGCCCATTTTTGCAGCTGAGTATGAAAACCAAGGTTTGCTTCTTCTTCAGACATTTAATCTCGTGGTGGTTCTTTCAGGGCTTGGAGGGCTAAAAAGTACGTGTGCGATGCCATTGACTCTAGTGCCCCCCCAACACTCACACACACCTCCAGACTCCACCGTGATGAAATGCATGCCAAAACCATCCAAAACCCCAATCCTGCGAGGGCGCAGTCGGGAAGTACCAAATGGACTTGCCGCCATGGCCGCCTGTGGAGGACCTTGAGACATTGTGGAAGCCCCTTTCAGCCCCTTCAGCAAAACAACACCACCGTAGACACGGGCCTTGCCACACGTCAACCGTCACGTCACGCATGCGGTGCTTTGGTCAATTCAGACTGGCCAGGTCGTCGGAGAGGTTTCATTTGGGGCCGACCTGCAACCGACAGAGGTTGAAGGACCCGACTGTTCCAGTATCCCAGAACTGGGTACCCCAGGTGATGGGTCCTATATAAGGCCACAAAAGACCTCTCTTGGTACTTGCAATCAAGATGAATTCACATGAA